AATGTGAAGACAAGGATGAATGGAAACCTGCTTTAAAGAATTGGGTTAGTACATCCGATGAAATAAAGCGAATCCTTAACGACCATAACATAAGAGTGTACTTTCGTGCAACTAACACCCTACACTCATCACTGGTGAAGGTTAAGGATAAAATAGGACAAGAAAACTAGCAGAATTGTGTACAACAAATCAATTGTGGGCATTGTAACGCAGTATATGTAGGAGAAAATTCCAGATCGGTAAATATAAGATTGAAAGAGCATAAACAATGTATAAAGGTGGTTCCAAAGACCTCTTCAGATTTGAAGAAGCTAGAAAACAACTCAGCGATTGCACTGCATTCGATAGAAACGGGACACAAAATCGACTTTGATAAGACTAAGGTTTTACAGAAAGGTTTTGGTTCATGTAGAGAAAGACTGACTGCAGAAGCCCTACCTACTTATATGGGTGAATACCAACAGTTTAAACAGACGTGAAGGTGTGGTGTTAGCTGATGCATGACAAATCCCGACTAATAAATAAAATTGGATACGTATCAACAATAGTCATACTTGGTCAAATTCCCAATTGCCTAACAAATGTTTTATGGCTGTTCACCCACACACACAGACACCATTGTATACTGCATATACATACACATTTTAACAAAAGTAGACAACTTTTGAAAGTCTGAGGTCAAAAAATCTTTTTCACAGTTCATACAATTTTTGTTTTGTATACCCATTGACAGCTGTTTCTTCATTCATATGACAGGACAGACAAACAATTTAAAACAAGAGATGTACTTTTAAATGTAAACATACAATTTTATTTATTTATTATACATGTTGATACCTGTTGCATGGCTCATGATTGGACAGTTTTAAAAAACAAGACATGTTCCTTTTATATATAAACCTCTGTTATGTTAATTCCGATTAATTTCCCTGAAGAAGTTCGGACCAGATAGCCAAACGAAACGTTGGAATTAATCATTTCAATTTCGCTGAGATTTTACAAATATAACTTTATAAATTTCTCCTCACGTTATAACAATTAGGAGAATATGAAAGTTGTTGGCGTTACAATGATGATAGTCAGTTACCTGGTGGACATATTTTTTATCGTAGAATAAGGGGTTAGTTATGGGGATGTCAAAATAAATAGTCGTATTTGTGTGACAAACATTCTCTGGGCTGAGATTGATCACAAAATATTATGAAATGTGAGACAATGGTGGTGATTGGTCATAATAGATTGGTGGGATGTGGGGTAGGAAAAAGTGACAAGTCAGTTCAGGGCTATCTCTTATCTCAATATGCGCGTATGCCTTCACCTGTTTCATTTCACACATTGGTTATTGCATGATGGACGTCGTATTGCAGTCCTACCATCCCAGCTTGAATACACACTACTCTGCACCAACCAGTCATCTGACATCTTTTGTAACCTTGAATTGACTGGTCAGTTTTTCATACCCATCATTCCCCGCATATATTATGACTAATCAGCGTCAACTTTCGAAGTCGGGAGACTATAATTGTTATGATTATGAACAATAAATTGTGTTCGAGACATTCTCATCCAGTAAATCATACTGTTTCACTGTGATGTATCTAATATCAGGACAAAACATACAAGCGAATAATATTGTTTTCAATTAGATCTTCTTCAGGTTTTACTCTAATTCAAATATATTTATATGTAAAAAGTTTAACCAGTAACGGTGATTTTGTGGATCAAATGATACTTATAATAATAATAATAATAATAATAATACTGACAATGATAATGATGATAATAATGTGGTGAGTGTTTTGAACGTTGTTAATAACGATGATTGTAATGATAAGAAAATACTGATAATAAGGTTGATTAAGAACACGATATTCAGCGAAGAGACTCTTTTCAACGAATTTATTATCAAGCTGTACAATCGTATGTATATGGTTTTATAAAGAAATTATATCCGGTGAGGGAATTAGATCGAAGTTGTGAATACATGAAATAGTAATAATAGTAGTATGAAATATAATTAAAATATTTGTGATGATAATCATAATTGAATGTCAAGTAGCAAAACACCAAATGTCATATACAGAATAATACATAAGGTGTATAGATGTTGGAAAGGGGCGTATGATTAAAGGACTAGTAGGCGAATATAAAATATTACATAATATGGTGTGAAATTTGATACGATAGAATTCATTATTGCACAGACAACAAACATTATGATTTTGGATTTAGAATGATGAGTGTGACAAGCTGAAACAATTCAGAGTGAGAATGGTAATATTAGTGGTAATAATAATCGTATTAATAAGGGAACAGTACATAGAATAACTAAATGAACAAAATAAATAAATAAACGTCTATCCCTCTACGGCCATGTCAGAAGTAGGGATTGTACATACTTCTTTTGTACACAAAGGTGTGGCTTAATGTCGTGAAGTCGCGAGGCCTCTGTTGTCTTTAGAAGTCTGTAACGAAGAGAAACGCGGCCAGAAAGTTAGAATGGATTCTGTAGATGATGAGTGACGGGAGTCGATCAGGTGTGCTGGAATACAGCTTCGTACACAATTCGTTTCTCCCTTGTAAAACCAAACCATTCAGCTGGAATATGTTCTCGTATCCGTGTGAAAAGCGTCCTCTGACTACGACCAAGAGCTCCACAAGAGCAGGTGAATTGATAGATTCACATGGGGGTGGCCAGACGGAGGAGCTTGTCTTTTACAGAGATGGAGAACAACCCGCTGCCAGTGAGCGTCATTTGTAATTTTGTCGCAAACAATGTCTTACTGACAGCTTTAGAGAGACCGTTGTTGAGCATATCTGAAGCTTGATCACCTTTGAATTCCAAGTTCATGAATCAGGTTTTCTTTGGAACTGAGTCGGTGACCAGTTCCTACTGATTATCTTTCATGTTGCTGTTATAAATCGGTTCGGGTAAGCGTTTTCTGCGAGCGTGGCTTTTAACAAGTCAAGTTCTGTGTCGACGCAATCAGAACCACAAATTTTTCTTGTCCTAAAACAGAGTGAATCAATTAGGTTCCTTATCCTGGAGATAGGCACCCAACTATGAAATTTAGTTAGTTATCCGTCACATGTACGTTTTCGGTGGATGGATGTTTTGAGAGATCCGTCATTACATCTACTAAGGCACACATCAAGAAAAAGAATACTTAGTTCAGATTCCTTTTCTGTGGTGAATTGTAAAGAACGATGGTAGTTGTTGAAAGCAAACAAGACAACATCCTGCGTTTCTTCACCTCCTCACATACACACAACTTCCTCCTAATATTGATTTTGAGCAAAAATTACTCAGTGATTAGCAATAAACCCGATATATACTCACCGCTATCAACAAGTAAATTCTCTGTATATCAGTTAAATCTAGCCATTTCCACAGTAGAAACTGATGTATACGAGGTGATTGAAATAACTGGTTCATGTGACCATTGAGCAGTGTACAGTTCTTCCTGAAGTCAAACTTTCACACTCTTCAGTGGTTCACAATCATTGTCTCATCAATCATACACTGCATGAGACTAGTCGGTGGACCACTCAGCTACGGAGTTGGTGGAATACAGTAGCCCATGAATCCTAAGCGATATACAGACACTAACAATCAGTGTCATCCATGAGTGGACATGACAACTTCCACTCCACTGGACACCACTTCATATTAAAGATTCAGAGTGCCCGCATTCATACACACATACACATACCCATGCATGCATGCACGCGTGCTTCATATAACCACTCATCAACACGAGATTGATATCGAGAATTTCTGAGTTTTATGGGGATTTCGATTCATTTCAATCTCGATTCCACCACGAATCGACATCACTCAGACCACCCTGTCATGCATGTAAACTATTTCTTATACTTTGATCAACTACAGGATAGCATAGCATAGTACAGCACAGTATAGCTTTCATCATCTAAGTAACCAGTTGGTAACAAGTCAGTTTTTAATTGCTTCATATTCATCTGTGACACTCACATTCATTGTGAAATTTACTTTCACATTCCGCCCACCTTACTGGTCAATGTCAATAGACAGGAGACAGCGATATACAGTAAGACACCGAGACTCCGAGACAGTGACAGAGAGGTCCAGAGGAGTGAAGAAAGTGCACTCACTGAAACCTCAATTCTGGCCAGAACAAATATTTTCACTGAATGGAACACGATATAATCAATATTTTTGAATTCGTTGAAAATTCATTGATTGATATCAGTCAGCATTTTCAAAATAATCGATGAGTGAGTTTCGATTTAATGTATGATTGACTAGCCATCAGTCATCGATCGATTGATCAAAATTCAGATCACTCCATTACAGACGTATTTATGACAAATTGAAAACAGACAACAATTATAACAATAACAATAACAATTTCGCTTTATTCCAGAAACAGTACTTGTGGTACAGTGTGGAATTTTCAGCACATATCTACAATATTGCATCTAATTTCATCGTACATTAAAAAGGAGTATTACAAAAAAAATAAATATAAAAAAAACACGAAAAAAATAAACCAAAAAGCGAAACACAGAAATAACAAAGAAAAAAAATGCAAATGAAAAATACCAAGTAGAAAGGAAGATAAACACCAATGATGAAAAAAATATTTCAGTACTGAGTAGTGGAAGCTATGATATGTGTATGCGTGGTGAACAGTGACACCTATGATCATACAAGAAATTATTGAGATGTTCTTAAGAATGTTAATAGCTAAGATGATCACTTAATTTGATTGAACAACACTAAACAATCATAAAATAAACATTTCAGGTTATGTTTTTTTTATTGTCAGCACTAATGCAGTGTTAGTCGTGGTAGTGTTAGTAATGATGCATAATACAAAATTTTTAAGATGGTGATAGTGGCGTTCACAAACAAGATTGTCAGTTAAATAGTGCCGAACAAAGAGCAACCACAAAATTAATATTACATGATGGTTAATGACAGGACAATTTTTAATAATCATAGTGATAATATAGTCGGACCCAGTAGATATACAAAAGAAGGAATAGAGTAAAGTACAAAAAAAGTAAGCCAACGATAATTAATTTTAAGCAGCTAAGTATGTTTAAGAAGGTTGTTCACTATAGAGTACAAATAAGAGAGTATAAGGGGAAATAACAAGGGCCAAAATTATGTTATTAACAACAAAGCAAGTCATAGGTTTCACGCTTAACATTGTCTCTGTCACTTAGAACACGGGCTGGCCAAATATGGTATCGTTGAGTTCCTATACTTGGTTGTACGAGCACATATTATTTTGTACTGATTTCTGGTTCTACCTGATGAGATGCAAGGAGAGAGTTGGGAATAGAAGGTGTGTTGGGGGTCAGAGAGTATGGTTTTAGACCATTTCTCGCATGCTTATCCACTAATGTTGTGACGAGCTGACTGAGTTTTACACCGCTAGTCCTACTAACTACCTTCAACATCCTTCTCAGGATGGTATAGTCCTTTTTCAGTAACCCAGGAAAGACTAACGGGGAACAGTAAAGTAGAATAGGTAGGATACGAGAGTTGACAAATTGTGAAAGCAGAGTTTGAGGGATTCCAGTTAGTCTGAGTTTCTTAATGTAGTAGACTAGACGAAACACTTTCTTGGAAATCATTTGGATATGAGATGACCAAGTAAGGTTTCAATTATAGCCCCCTCAATTCTACAGGCATCATGAGTGCTTACTAGTGTTTGTAGATCTCGTATCTGCCTAAAGGAGAAGTCGACAGTCTGGCATTTTGAGGGATTCAGCATGAGGCCATTTAGTTTAGACCACTGACTGATGTCCGACAGGAAGCTATTTAATTTGAAGCAGTCTGACTGAGACTTAACGGGAAGCGAAACAGTCAGGTCATCTGCATATTTGACGAAGTTGATTTCGTCTGAGAGAGGTAAGTCATGTAGGAAGAAGGAAAAGAGAAATGGCGAGAGAACAGCACCCTGAGGAACTCCAGCTTCAGTAAGCAAAGGAGAGGAAGCTACACCATTATATACCGTGTACTGCATCCTATTGGAGAAGTAAGAGTGCAGCCAGTTGATAGCCCAGGACTCAGTTTGTGTAAGGCTAAGCTTGTTTAACAACAGGCCTCTAGGTACAGAGTCAAAAGCAGATGTGTAATCAAGGAAAGTACAACGGACATACTTGGCCCCTTTGTCTAAGGAGGATACAATGTTGTGATGAAACACAGCAGCAGCATCCAAAGTACTTCTACCCTGTTTGTAAGCAAACTGCTTTGGATCGTTTGAGAAGCTTAGGGAGGGAATGAGTTTTTGTAACAGTAATTTCTCCATCAGTTTCAAAAAAGGAGAGGTAATGGCAATTGGTCTAAACTTAACACTATCTCCAGAACCAAACTCGGATACAGGGATGATTTTAATATCTTTCCACAGAGAAGGTACAACATAATTGGAAAAAGAAGTATTGAAAATGCTTGTAAGTGGTTTACTTAAAATATCAGCACATTTCTTTAAAACAATGGCAGGTATACCATCAGGGCCTAGACTCTGGGAAGGTTTAAGAGATTTCAAACATTTAAGAACATCAGAAGTATTGAAACTATGAAAGTCACTGGCTGTGTTATTAGTTAAATTGAAGGCAGAAGGGACATTTGGAGGGCGGATGAAAGATCTATTGAGAGTATTTACATCAATAGAAGAGGCAAAATTATTATGCTTACCACAACCAGTAATTTCTCTAAAAAGCTTCCATATGTTTTCTGAGGTTTTACAAGATAGTATTGTTTGATTATAAATGTTGTTTAGTCTCTTGATTTCAGATTTAATTTGGGTGTTTATCTTCTTAAGACCAGATTTATTCTTTGTCTTGTACAGCTTCTCTTTTTCTCTACGAAGTTTTTTGAGATGAGGGGAAGAAAAACGATCCATTCTTTTGAAAATTATCTGTTTTGGACAGCATATATCAAGACAGAATTTAAGATAGTCAGTCAAATTGGAAATAGTATCATCCAGTTTGTGTTCGTTGAAAAGTTCCCAGTTAGTGTCATTTAGCATACATCTTAGTTTGAGCATATTTTCTTGTGAGTAACACCTTTGCTGTGTTTTCTTGGACAGATTTGAGAAGATATTAAAGTGAGATCTGCTGTATATCTTAGGTAATATCCGAATAATACAATGATCTGAGTTCATGATAGGAGCACGTCTGCGTACTTCATATATTTCCTCATCATTAATAAACACTAGATCAAGAGTTTTATCAAGTCGAGTAGGGAATTTAACAATATTGGCATGACCTAATGATACGAGGAAAGAACAATCACAGCAGTTAAAATCTCCTGTGACAACTGATAAAGAGTTTTCAAGATGTGTAACGGCGAATTCAGTGAATTGGTCAGCAAAATCAGATAGATCCGAGGCAGAACATCCAGGAGTAACATAAATGTTAGAGATGAAGACGTATTTAAACTTGGATAAGTGTTTCGGGAGGCATTTGACCGTTTTACAATCAATAAAGTCATTAGAGTAAGAAAAACATACATTATTTGAAGTTGACCATTGAGAATGAATGAAAGTTGCAACACCTCCACCTCTTTTCTTTCTGGAGCATAGTCGATCTTGTCTAAACAATGTAAAACCGTTTAGGGAAACCAGATTGTCATCATAGAGTTCATGGAGCCATGTTTCTTGTAATGCAACAATCGCCGTATTGTGATAAGTATCAGATGATAAGAGAGACTGGAGATGCATAATTTTGTTGGGAAGTGAACGGCAGTTTGAAGTGACAATAACAGGAATGGTTGTACGATATAAAGGTGTCTGTTTAAGTGCACGCTGCCAGCCAGCGTGATGTTTTCTCTTAGATTTATTAGATGCATGAAAGTCATATGGTTTAAAACGTTTAATGAATGAATTACTGTATTTTATGCGATTTGCGATCATATTTTATTAAAATTAGGAATGAAAACATGACTTATTAGATGCAATATGTAGATGCACGAAAAGGTAGCCCAGATGTCAAACAGGCCGCCAATAGAACCAAGTGATAGAATCAATGGATCCATCAATCAATCAGGGAGAGAATATCGAAAGAAATTCAAGTTGTACTCTTTAAAATGGTTAACAACTTCAAAGCGGGAACTGCACATAATTCATATTGTGGTTATAATTTTCATTACAATGGTTCACAGTAGGTTAACGAGAATGTCTGTGTTCTTAGTAACCTGTACGAGTGCATGTGCTGCATAGTATACGTGATTGTGGATGAGTGAGTGAGTGAATAGGTAGATGACATCTCAAGGGATAAATTTTCAACTGTATTTTATTCAATAAAGAGTGTGATGTTGAGAGCTTACTCAAATTTCTCTGTGTCTATGTCTGGGTGTAGGAATCTGCGCGGGTACATTTTATGAATGATGATGTGCATCTACATGAAGTGACAAGCGTAATTTCCCCATTCCAGAGATTTCATCTGACACAGTCACAAGTTTTGATGTGGTTTTGTTCTCTGAGCTGGATAGTTAGTTTGCGAAGCTTTCATCACCTTACTGGGTGACATCTTCAGCGCATACTTCAAATTGAAGTGAGCTTTTAGGTTTCTCCACGAGTTTATTAATCATTCCTCCTGGTGACCTTGGACGTGATTGGTTGTTTATGTATGTTTTCACACCTTCTAGGTTACTTGTGTTGGAACTGATTGTTTCTATGACTTGAACTTTGGCCAATCGTGTGTGAAGTTTCTTTCTTATTGGTTGATAAATTTTGTCTATCTCGATGTGTCCACCCAACTTAAGAAAAATTGAAGAAAAGTATCTCATGGACGTCTTCCAAAAGAATGGATATCCCCGGAATTTCATCAAGAGACATATACCCCCAAGCCAACCTACCAAAACAAAAGCCACCAAGGAAAACACAAAGAAAATCGCCTTACCATATATAAAGGATATCTCAGAAATCACTAAAAGACTCTTCAAACCTTTAGGAATTGACGTCGTACACAAACCAACAAAGTCGCTGCACTCAATTCTATGTCGACCAAAAGACTCAACAGCAAAAGAAGACAAAACCAACATCATCTACAAAATGAACTGTAACAACTGTGAAAAACACTACATTGGCCAAAGTGGACGTCCCCTTCGTCTTCGTATCCACGAACATAAGCTAGCCGTCAAAAGACATGATATACACTCCCTCATTTCCCTACACACAGACAACCACGGACATCAATTCGACTGGGACAACGTTCAAATATTAGACAAAGGAAATAACAAGAATACTAGAGAATTTTTAGAAGCTTGGCATTCCAGTGAATCATCAATCAATAGACACATCGAGATAGACAAAATTTATCAACCAATAAGAAAGAAACTTCACACACGATTGGCCAAAGTTCAAGTCATAGAAACAATCAGTTCCAACACAAGTAACCTAGAAGGTGTGAAAACATACATAAACAACCAATCACGTCCAAGGTCACCAGGAGGAATGATTAATAAACTCGTGGAGAAACCTAAAAGCTCACTTCAATTTGAAGTATGCGCTGAAGATGTCACCCAGTAAGGTGATGAAAGCTTCGCAAACTAACTATCCAGCTCAGAGAACAAAACCACATCAAAATTATCCACCTGAGCTACAAATCTTCTCTATCATATCTAAATCTTACGAGCGGGATACGCTTCTCTCTGTTCGAAAGTGGGAAGACTTCGCCAAAAGGCAAGGATCCACCAGAGAACAATTATTCTTTCTCCATGAGTGCCTTCGTCATTCAATCCTACCAAACAGTGTAAGATACAAGCCACCAGTCAACTGCCCAATGGGATGGAAATTGGCCGAACAATGTGGAAGACGAATGGTCAAATTAATGATTACGGACGCACATTATCGGATCAACAAATATCAACAAATAATAGATGTCCAAAAAGCAAAATTAGAGAAAACCCTCAACCAAGAACACCTGTCAACGCTGATCACCGCAATTTCACTGTCAAGTGGAAAACACAGAGAACAAAGACGAAGAGTCCTCAAAACCAAGCTAGCCAAGATTAGAAAACAACAACCAGACAATACGCCCATAGACTGCGTAGTCAACCTATCAAAACAACCACTATCAAAAATGGAACAACAACTACTACAAAAAGGATTAAACTACAACACCGGAGATGCTTCAAAAACTGATTTCTTCGCTGCCCTTGAATCATTACTCAAATCATCAAACTTGAACGAGGAAACACAGGAAGAGATACGCCAAACAATTGTACCAATGGTCAAACGGAAAAGACAACACACACAACTCAACTCTCAAGAACTAAAAGCCCTCAAAAAGCTGAAAAATAGGAAGGACATCGTCATTTTACCAGCCGACAAAGGAAGAACAACAGTAGTCATGGTCAGAGAAGAATACACCAAGAAAGCTGAAGAACTACTCAAAGATGAAGATGTATATCAACAACTCCCAACAAATCCCATACAAACATTGGACAACCGCATCCAAAGGACCTTAAACAAGCTCAGCAAAACTGGACAGATCACAAAACAAGACCAATGGCGAATGAAATCCAATGGACCAGTCCTACCTCGATTCTACGGCAGACCCAAAATACACAAGGCAAATATCCCGTTACGACCAATTGTATCACTCCCAGGAACTCCAACATATAATTTGTCCAAGGAATTATACAGAAAACTAAAACACCTAACGGAATCCTGTGATCACTCCATCAACTCTGCTATCCAATTCCTAGAGAAAATCAGAGACATCCAAATAGATGAACAAGAAATAATGGTATCCTTCGACGTGACAGCATTATATACCTCTATCGGACAAAAACTAGCAAAAGAAACCATGGAGCAATTACTTAGCAACGACGAACAACTTCCACAACAATCAAAAATGCAACACACAAGCTGGATGGAATGCATAAATCTATGCCTAACAACATACTTCCAATTCAACGGCCAAATATATGAACAAGTCAAAGGAACACCCATGGGATCGCCAATATCAGGTTTGATTGCAGAAGCAGTGATGCAAAGACTCGAAAACATAATTCTACCAAAGATCAAACCCAAGATTTGGATACGCTACGTCGACGACACATTTGTAATAATCAAAAGAAACGAATTAGACAAAACTCACAACTTAATAAACAACGTCTTCAACGACATCAAATTCACAAGAGAAGAGGAATCCGAGAACAAAATACCATTTTTGGACGTCTTAGTCAGGCGAACAACTACAGGAGAATTAGAAACTCAAGTTTATAGGAAATCAACTCACACAGACCAAATACTGAATTACAACAGCAACAACCCAATAGCACACAAAAGGAACTGCATACAAACACTATTCAAGAGAGCAAGGACTCACTGCAGCACTCCCACCTTAAGAAAAATTGAAGAAAAGTATCTCATGGACGTCTTCCAAAAGAATGGATATCCCCGGAATTTCATCAAGAGACATATACCCCCAAGCCAACCTACCAAAACAAAAGCCACCAAGGAAAACACAAAGAAAATCGCCTTACCATATATAAAGGATATCTCAGAAATCACTAAAAGACTCTTCAAACCTTTAGGAATTGACGTCGTACACAAACCAACAAAGTCGCTGCACTCAATTCTATGTCGACCAAAAGACTCAACAGCAAAAGAAGACAAAACCAACATCATCTACAAAATGAACTGTAACAACTGTGAAAAACACTACATTGGCCAAAGTGGACGTCCCCTTCGTCTTCGTATCCACGAACATAAGCTAGCCGTCAAAAGACATGATATACACTCCCTCATTTCCCTACACACAGACAACCACGGACATCAATTCGACTGGGACAACGTTCAAATATTAGACAAAGGAAATAACAAGAATACTAGAGAATTTTTAGAAGCTTGGCATTCCAGTGAATCATCAATCAATAGACACATCGAGATAGACAAAATTTATCAACCAATAAGAAAGAAACTTCACACACGATTGGCCAAAGTTCAAGTCATAGAAACAATCAGTTC